TAATAAATATAATGAGTTTTACCTTGACCCTCTCCCATTTCTGAGTGTTGTTCTTTTATTACATAGTTTAATAATACTGTGTTCTGTTTCTTTGAAGGACTTATCACTCTGTGTGTGTGTGTGTGTGCGCGCGTGTGTGTATTTGTGTGTTTAAACATTTTAATGTATACATGTAAGCTGTCCAATGGTAGGAATTATATCTATTTTGGTTATTTTTTTTTCAGAATCTAATTTTTCTTCAAATTATTACATTTTTAAACATTCTTTTATACACCCACAATCCTTAGATTTAAAAAGATTCAGAATGCCAAGCTCTGAGTGTAGATGTGAAGTAAAGATTTTAAGATTTCTGCCTTCTAAATGCTTATCAGTAGCCTCTATTACGAAAGAATTCAAAGTGATCCTGTGGGCCATAATTTGTAACAAAATGACCTCCCCTGAATATGAATGAATTTGATAGGATTAATTTTTTTCACTTAACATATCCAGGTAATAAACTTAAGTTTTACTCCAAATGAATATTTTGGTTATTTCTTTTACAACTTTTTCTCTAGTGCTTGGAACATAGTAAGCATCAAGAAATATTTCTTGAATGAAAACTTTTTTTTTTTTGGTACTAGGGATCAAACTCAAGACCTTGCTCTTTCTAGGCAGGCGTGGTGCCACTGAGCTACATCCCCAGCCCTCTTGAATGAAAACTTTGTTTTGAGTTTCTGAAATGGAGAAAGGGAGATATGCAGGATAGTATATATAATAATATCCCATCTGTGTTATTTTTTAAAATTTGTGTAATTTGGATATTAATCCCTTATTAGGTGTATGAGTCCCAAATATTTTCTCCCATTCCATGAGAACTTTTCATTTTGTTGACAGTGTCCCTTTTTGTTTGTTTGTTTTATTTTGTTTTACTTGAGACCAGGTCTCACCATGTAGTCCAGGCTGGCCTTGATTGAACTCACAGCAGTCCTCCTGCCTTATCCTCCAGAATGCTGGGATTACAGATGTGTGCCACCACACTCAGCTGTTGACAGCATCCTTTGGTGCACATAAGTTTTTAATTTTTTTTTTTTTGGTACCAGGGCTCGAACTCCGGTCCTTGTGCTTGAGCAGCAGGCCATGAAACCACTGAGCTAAATCCCCGGCCCTTTAATTTTTTTTTTTTTAAACAGGGTCTCACTGTGTAATTCAGGCTGCCCTTGAACTCTCTATATAGCCCAGGCTGGCCTGGAACTTGCAGCAATCCTCCTCCCTCAGCCTCCCAAGTGCTGGGACTACAGATTTGTGCCACCATGTCCATATCCATAAGTTTTTAATTTTGTTGAAGTTCAGTGTATCTTTTGTTGTCTTTGCTTTTGGTGCTATATCCAAGAAATCATCACCAAATCCAATGTTGTGAAACTCTTCACTCTGTTTTCTTCTGAGAGTTTTATAGCTTTATCTCTTACACTTAGAGCTTTGATCCATTTGACTTAATTTTTATTTATAGTATAAGGTAGGGATCCAACTTTATTATTTTGCATATAGATATCCAGTTTTCCCAGCAACATTGTTAAAAAGTTGTACTTTCCCCTTTGGATAGTTTTGGCTTGCTTGTTGAAAATCACTTAACCATATACAATCCTGTGTGAAGTTTTATTTCTGGGCTGTCTATTCTGTTCCATTAGTCTGTATGTCTGTCTTCATGCCAGAACAATACTATTTTATTTAACTGCAGTAAAATATATATAACAAAATTCATGATTTTAATCAATTGTAAGTACACAGTTCAGTGGCATTAAGAACATTCATATTATTCACCACATTCCTTTGTCCACTTTATTGCTGCAAACTATGTCATTTTATTCCCTTATTTGAATACATTATAATTTCTTTATAAGTCCTCTGCTAATGAGTTTTTCAAGACAGGGTCTTACTATGTAGTTCAGGCTGGTTTTGAACTCACTATGTAACCAAGGCTGGCCTCAAACTTACAGTGATCCTTCCTGCCTCAGCCTCCTGTCTGCTGGGATTACAGGGATGTGCCACCACACCTGGTGGTCCTCTGCCAATGGGCATTCAGGTCTTTTGCTAGTATAGTTAATACTATGATAAATAAGATAACATAAAAATCATTTTTCCTTGTGTGAGAATATCTGTAGGATAAATTCTAGGAACAGAATTTTATAGCATTTGAACCTTTGAAATTTTGGCAGATATTGGCAGATATCAACAAAATGCCTGTCAGACAGGTATTACCAATTTACTTTTTCACCAGCCATGTAAAGTAGAACCCATTTTCTCATATAGCCACTGGTGCAGCATATTAGCTTTTTAAAGTTTTTATTTTCCTATTTTTTTTGCTTTCCTATTTAATGTTCTGTTTTGTGAACTGTGTTTATATCTTTGCCCATTTTTCTCTTTAGTTGTCATTTTCCTGTTATAGGATTTTTTTATATATATTCTAAGGAAATGAGCTTGTTTTTTTTTTTTTTTTTTTAATGATACCAGGGTTTGAACCAGCCCTTCACACTGAGCTATATGTCCCCAGCCTCCCACCTCAGCTTTTTTTTTTATTTTGAGACAGGGTCTCACTAAGTTGCATACCTAGGCTGACCTCAAATTTGTGATCCTCCTACTTCAGCCTCCCAGTGTGCTGGGATCACAAGTGTGCACCACGATGCCCAGCTGGGAAAATTAGCCTTTTGTTTCTAATATGAGTTTCAAATATCTTTCTGTCTTGTCGCTTGAATCATAGCAGTTCTGCTCCCACTTTGTTCCTATTTGTGGTTAATGAGTGCCAGAAATATTTGGAGATTCCTTCACCTTACCCCATTAGAAAGCTCTGGTCAGTCACAGAGCAATATTCTGATAGTGAATGAGTTGCTTGTTAATTTCTGACTGTTAAAATGAAACAGTGTTAAGACTGGAATATGTTCTCAGTTTTAGATGAGACCTAAGTAAGAGAAGCCACATAACCTGGGCCATACAGTGGGTAAGCAGTGGGGCCGGAACCAGGGCTCCTCTCTGGCTTCCAGGCTTCCATTCTGGATGGAGGTCGCTGTGTAGCACACACTCTAGGGAAGTTCTGAGCTTCTGACAGCAGTCAGGAGTTGAAAGTTCGTTTTGGTAGAGTTATGAGACCTTTCTTTTTCTGGTATTTCCAGACCTTTGTCTTTCTAGTATTTCCTTCTCTTGGCCTCCTTCCCCAAATGCTTTCTGAATTCTGACAGTCCATCCTAAGGCAAAGAACAAGCGCCCTTTACCTCTGCCCTTTGCTGTGGTGGATGCTCCCTGGGCTCTAGGCATGCAGCATGCAGGGGCAGGAGAATCCTGGGGACTCTGCAGGGGACGGTGCTGCCCTCCCTGCTTGACTCAGGAGGAAGCCAAGCTAAGCTTGTTCTGTGTGGTCTGGAGATTTGCTGCCAGGGCTCTTAAATCTTAAAATGGAGACAACCCGATTCTCCATGAAAAGTCCTGGGACTAGGATCACTTCTCAAGGATCTTCTTATCCAAGTGATAAAAATGATAAATTACAAAGGTAATGCAAAATTTAAAAATGAAATTACGTACTGCTTATCTATCAGATCTAAGATATCATCAACTGTAGTAGTATATACCACTATTTGGTACATCACTTTAAAAATGCTAAACTGACTAGTGCTTGCTTGTCAGGTGTACTTGTCTTATACTGTTATGCATCCTATGTTAGTCAGCTTTCCATCACCATAATGAAATACCTGAGATAATTAACTTATAAAAAATTTGGGCTGAAAAAAAAAATTGGGGCTGGCTATGGCTGAGTAGTAGAGTGTTTGCCTAGCAAGCACAAGGCCCTGGGTTTGATCCTCAGCACTGCAAAAACCAAAAAGAACAGGGGCCAGGGATTTAGCTCAGTGGTTTCGCAGCCTGCTGTGCAAGCACAAGGTCCTGAGTTCGAGCCCCAGTACTAAAAAAAAAAAAAAAATGAGTTATAGCCAGATGCAACACACCTGTGACCCCAGCACTGGGGAGGCTGAGGTAAGAGGAACAACAAAATGAGACTCCATTTCTGAATGAATGCCACACCATCTGTGCCTGTAATGAGTTGCTTGTTAATTTCTTAGTGTTAATTACACCTGTAATCCCAGCACTTTGGGAGGCTGAGGCAGGAGGCATGCCAAGTTCAAGCTCAACCTAGGAATCTTAGTGTCTTAGCAAGACCCTTTCTCAAAATTAAAACATCAAAATATCTGGGGATACAGTTCAGTGCAAAGGCCTTGGGTTCAATCCCCAGTACCACAAAACAAAAAACATAACTGAATAGGGAATGCTGGCTCACATTGGTAATCCCAGCATTCAAGAAGCTGAGACGGGAGGATCACTTCGAGTTCAAGGCCAGCCTGGGCTACATAGTGAGTTTAAGGCCAGCCTGAACTATCTAGTGAGACCCTGTTCCGCCCCCTCAACAAAACAAACAAAAACTGAACTAAAGTGACAATATCAATAATTTAGACTAAATTCAGACTTGTACAGGCATTGTGACTACCTCTCAACCATTTGGCCAACATGATTCTAAGATTTCAGAGGCATTATTGTGTATAGGTGCATCTTAGAATTAATGCAGTGTTATATTTGCTTGACTAATTCCAAAGCATTTTCATGTATGCGATGTCATTCATTTTCCTGACATCTGTGATAATAGATTGTAGGTCATTTTCTAGATAAGGAAACTGAGGCTTAGAGAAGCTAAATGACTTGTCAGAGATCACAGTTAATAAGTCATAAAACTGGGGTTTAAAGCCCAGACTTTCTGCTCTGCCCACGTGTTTCCCAGCATTTGACCTCATCCACATGACTTTTTCTGCTGTATTGAAACACATGTCTGGAGCAGCCCCAGGAAGCAAGGGCTGCTCTGGTTTTCTGCTTCTTCTGATAAAGAAAAATGCTGGCAGAAATAGGTATGCAGCAGCAGTTTTCTTAAAAATTAAGAGTAAGAATGTAAGTTTAATTTGATGACTTTTTTCCCTTCCTCTTCTGTAAAGGTACCAGAAAGCAGCTGAAGAGGCTAACATGGAAAAGAAGAGAAGTGTAAGTACTTAGAAGCCCCCGGGCACATGCAGCTTCCTGAGCCGAGCCTGTGTGGCCAAGCCACCTGCAGCTTTGCAGGATTTCTGTGCCAGCTGGTCTGGTTTGTGAGCCATTTGACTAGGAGAATTTGGCTCAGGTGCAAGGAATCTTTATTTTTTCACTGAAGGTCTCCTTTTGGGGCATGTTTTCTTTCCTGTGCTGAGTGAAGGCTGTAAGGCCAAATGCTTCATCTGAGATTAGTTAAGATGGCTCACTACTTCTGGGTACACAAGAACACAGGGTTTCCTAGGCCACTATCCTTTTTTCCAAATCAAACAACCAGAATTTCTATATCAATGTATTTAAATGGTAGTAGTTATGTAGCTATGTATTGTCATCCTCTGGGTTTTCTGTTTAAAGCAAACTTCTTGACTCAATCTAGTTAGCAAGTATCTTAGCTGCAGAATTCATCAAAGACAAACACCTCCAGAATAACTGCCCAGCCAGTACTCATTCTCTACTCTCCCTGCTTGCTAACTTTCAGCTGGACTTGCTAATGTATTTGTTTTGAAATCTGACTTGATTTAATCTTTTCTGAGATGGGTCTCAGTATGTTTCCCAGGCTGTTTTTGAATTTGTGAACTTAGGTGGTCCTTCTACCTTGGCTTCCCCTATAACTGGGATTACAGGTGTGCACAACAACAACCCAGCTCCTTAATATAATCTTACAAAGAAAAAAAAAATCTCACATATTTAAGCAAGAAGTCTTTAATTTGACTTACAAAAACAGCCCGCTGGAAGTTTTCAGTACCTAACCTATTTAAACTAGTGCATAACATGCTCTTGTGAGTTTTTTCTAAGGGAGTAATATACACTTTGACTTAATTTTCCTATAATTTGAAAATGGATCTTTATCGTAAGAAAAAAGTATCATTTCACTCAACTGCTTGCTTCTTCTGCCCTTTTCTCTCCTGAATGATTTTCTTTTCTTTTTTGTGTGTGCCGGAGATCAAACTTAGGACCTTGCGCTTGCAAGGCAAGTGTGGTGCTGCTGAGCTAAATCCCTGGCTCTCCTGACTGATTTTCCCTTTCCTCCTCCTTTTCTTTCACTCATTTATTCAGCAAGTTTTCACAGAGCACCTAATCCCTGCCAAGCAGTGTTTTAGGCACTAAGAATATGGACTGCATCTCCTTCCTCATGGAGATTACATTCTATTGGGAGACACAGGCAACAAAGCAATTGTGTCAGGTAGCTGTATCATAGCTAGTGCCATGAAGCAGGTAAGGGGAATAGAGTTTACATATAGGTATCTGATGAGGTGATCTCTGAGCAGAGATTTGAGGCCATGAGCCCAGGAGAAGAAAGATTCAGGTAGAAGAAACAGCATGTGCAAATGCCCAGAGGCAAAAGTGTTCTTTTGTGCAGTATTTGAGGGACTAGAAAGAGAAAAGTCATAGGGTCATTGAAAGGACCTTGCCTTTAACTCTGAAGGGAAGGAGATCTTCAGGGGGTTTGGGTGCAAAAGACTGATGTGGGGCCGGGGATTTAGCTCAGTGGTTTCTCTGCCTGCTGTGCAAGTTCAAGGACCTGAGTTTGATCCCTGGTACCAAAAAAAAAAAAAAAAAAAGACCGATGTGATCCAATTTAAATTTTTAAAAGAAGACAAAGAGACTATGGAGGAACAATGGCAAAAGTATGGAGACCAAGGTGCTGTAAAGCTGTTGTAAAGATTTAAGAAAGAGGGCCAGGGATTTAGCTCAGTGGTGCCATGCCTGCCTGTCAAGTGCAAGGCCCTCAGTTTGATCCCTGGTACCAAAAAAAGAAAGGAAAGAACTTAGGAAGGAAATGATAATGCACTGGATTGAAGTAGCAGTGGTGCAGGTGAGAAGTGGTCAGGATTTATATAGAAGGAAGAGAGAAGAATTGAGGATGGCGGCAATGTTTTTGGCTCAAATACCATTAAGTTAAATTAAAATGCCATTAACTGAAATGGGGAAGACTACAGTAAAAGCAGGTTTGGAGTAGGGAAATTAGTAGAAGCTCACTTTTGAACATTTTAAATTCCAAGTGCTTCATGAAGACATCCAAGTAGAAATGCCAAGAAGAAGCTTAGCTCTACCAATCTTGAATTAAAAGAGATCTGGGCTGGAAATAAAAATGGATGTGTGTCATAGTATCAGTGGTGCTTATGTGAGATGCATGAAATAACTTAGGAAGTGATTGTAGATAAAGGAGAGGTCTCGGACTGAACTCAAGAGTTGGCAAGATAAGGAGAATCAGCAGAGGAAATGGGGAAGAGCTGGTAAAAGAGCAGTAGAAGCCAGAGCTGGGGTACCAGAAGCCAAGTGAAGAAAACATTTCTAGGAAAGTTAAAAGTCAAACATATCTAACGTGAGAATTGACCATCAGATTTAACAACAGGGAAGTGAATGGTCACTTTGATTGGTTTTGGAGTGGCAGGAGAGAGCCCTGATTGGACTAGGCTCAGGACACAGTGGAATGAGTACAGACAGAATGGGTGGAGGATTTCTTGTTTCAGGTGCCGAAGACACAGAGGTATGAGATATTTTTCCTGCTTTCAAGGGACTGTTTAGGTCTGAGAGTTTGAAAAGAAAATTTTATAATCCAAATGCAGTCAGTTTCATATCAAAGAAATAGGGTTCTAGGGGAGAATTTAGAGGAGACTCCTAACTTGGAATATGCCACATCAAAGAAGATTTCACAGAAGTGATGTCTGACTAGACCCTGAAGGACCAGTAGGAATTAGCTAAGCCAAGGGGCAAGGAATGGAAGAGTGGGGTGTATTTAGACAGAGGAAACAGCACATGCACAGCATGAAAGTATAAGAGAACAGGCCCACTTAACAGATGGAGAATTGTCACATTCCCTGAGGCAGAAAATTCAGGAAAAACAAACAAAAAAACAAGTGGGGAGAGCCAGGCATGAAGGGAGAAGGAAAGACTTCAGCCATCGTCAGGATGAGCCTAAAATGCCTATGCAATCCCAGCACTCTGGAGGCTGAAGCAAGAGTTTCACTATGAGTTCAAGGCCAGCCTAGGCTACATAGTGAGATTAAGGTTGGCCAGGATTACAAAGAGAGAGCCTGTCTCAAACAGACAAAATGCCTGTGGGATGTCTAGATAGAATTGGTAGATAAGGAGAGTTAACTGTCATAGGTCATAACTCACCAACAGATAGCTTAGGGCTGAAACCAGTGGGTGGATAGCTACAGAAACTATGTGCATAGAGGACCTAAGATCAAACTCTGAGGAACAGAGGAGAAAACTGTAAATAAAACTGAGAAATGGGCAGAGAAATTGAAAGAAATCTAGGAAAAAGGAATGTCACAGAAAACTTGGTTGGTGAATTGAGACCATTAACATTGATAGTTATAACTGAAACGTATTGACTTGTCATTGTCATGACTTTTTCTTTTTGTTGGGTTCTCCCCCTTTACATTTAATTTCTTGTCACGCCAGATGGGTTCATTCTGCTTTGCTTCCTGGGGTTGTGATCCTCAATGTCTGTTCCTAGGATATTATGTAAAATTTTTTTGGAGTGCTGGTTTGGTATTCATGAAGTTCCTAAGGTGCTCTTTGTCATGAAAGTATCTTATTTCTCCATCAATTTTGAAAGATAGTTTTGCAGGGTACATCAATCTGGGTTGGAGACTTTTAGGGCTTGGAATATGTCACTCCAAGCTCTTCTTGCTCTGATGGTTTGTGTGGAGAAGTCTGCTGTGATTCTGATGAGCTTTCCTTTGTATGTGATTTGTTTCTTTTCTCTAACTGCTAGTAGAACTTTGTTCTTCTGTTGAGTTTCTGGAATCTTAACAATTATATGCCTATGTGTAGATTTTTTTTTAATCAAGGCTATTTGGAGTCCTATATGCCTCACTTATCTGTATGTCAAGCTCTTTTCTCCTGCTTGGGAAGTTTTCTGGCATTACTTCTGTGAAGTTTTTTTATGTTGTCTTCACTCGCTCCTGTTTCTTCTTTGACTCCAGTCAGTCTTATGTTATTCTTCTTTGCATCATCTAGCAGCTGCTGGATTGATTTCTTGTGTTCCATTACAATTTTGAAGCAATTTTTCTTTTTCTGGTCACTAATTGCAATCTTATCTTCTGTATCTGAAACTCTGTCCTCACATTGGCTCATTCTGCTGTGTAGACTTTCAATGGAGTTTTTCATCTCCTGGAAATCTATTTGCATCTGTTTTATGGATTCCATTTGTTTCCTATGTTGGGATTCCATCATGTTCCTCAGCTTCTCTCTAGATTTATTAATCATGTCTTGCACTAGGAGCACAATCTCTGCTGTTATCTGAGAAGTTATTTCTGATTTCATTTTTTCCAGATCCTCTTTTGTTGCCAGTTCAGTGGGTCCAGGTGATTGAGTATCAGAGTGTTCCATCTCATTTCCCTTTGGGGTTGCTGTAGGTGATCTGGAAGTCTGGTTTTGAGACTTATTTACGTGTCTTCTCTTTCAACCCCGGGGGAAAGGGGGTGCTGTTGGCATCCGTGCGGCTCACCTCCTCTGAGCTGGAAGAGGTGGGACGGCGGCTCAGAAGCCCCTTCTTCTGGGCCAGGAGCAGCAGGACCTGTCACAGAAAACTTGGAAGGGAGGAGTCCTTTCCTTCCCCCCACCCCCATACTGGGAATCGAATTGAACTCATGACCTTATGCTTGCCAGGCAGGCAAGGGAGGAATTTTTAAAAGGGGAAGTGGTCAGTAATGGCAAACTCTACCACTTTTTTTTTTTGATACTGGGGATCGAACTCGGGACCTTGCACTTGCAAGGCAGGTGGTGGAACCACTGAGCTAAATCCTTGGCCCATTACCACTTTTTTCTTTTTTTTTCTTTTTTTTTGGTACCGGGGATCGAACTCAGGTCCTTGTGCTTTCGAGGCAGGTGCTGGAACCACTGAGCTAAATCCCCGGACCCCACTGCCACTTTTTTGAGAGGCTCTCAGCATAGATCCCTTCCCTTCCTTCCATAGATCTTCTTCCCTTCCTTGGAGGCCATAGCAGGCAGCCCATGTGTATCTTGCCAAACAAGTTCTTTGAAAATGAAAATGTCCATTCTGTGATTTCAGTGTGATAGTTCATTTGGCCCAGCCTCTTCATTTGAGAGAAGGGACTTATCTAACATAATATATCTCAAAGTGACAGATCTCTGACTTAGCCCAATTGTAAGTCAGATGCTTTGCAGGAAGGACACTGTGGTGTGATCTAGATTCAGGAAGCTAGCTCTTCAGAGGCAACTCTGCCAGTAGTCTCAGGTTTGCTGGGTAGAATGAAGATTGTCCTGGCTGTCACTTGGAGAAAGGAGGCTATAATAGTATAGCAACCAATGTGATCCTTAAACTTTCAACTTTCTTGATACCTAGTGCCTTATTCTAAGAAAATACTTAGGAAAAAGTATCCCTCACCTCCACCATATGCAGCAAGTAGAAAGAACAGTAAGAGACTGTAACCCAAGTTCAGGATTTCAGGAATGACTAGGAACTGTGGTTGATTATGGTTGGTCACATTGTGAGGAGTAGCTGAGGGAGTCAGCAGGGCCACTCATTTAATAATAATTGCTACCACTTACTGGGTGCCTACTTATGTCAAATATTATACTATATACATTAATACAGGCTTGTGTATTCCTCACATTAGTCCTATATGGTAATTTCCAGAAACTAAAAGAAACTTGTCCAAAGTCACATGGCTGGATGGAGGTAGATTATGTAAGTAATGAATGTTCAATCCAGGTAATACAAAGAAAGAGAAGAAAACATAAATGATCTGTAATCCATTATCCAGTGATAACCTGGGTCTCTGGGTGTCATATTCTTTTTATTGTGTTTAATTTAGCTATTGCTTTTATTCTTCAGCTTCTTGCTTCTCTTTCTTCCTCATTTTGCTTGCCTCACTCTCATGAAAGACTTGGATGACTGCCACGGCCTGGGCAGCACTCCCAGGAGTGATGGGAGGGCGTGGCCTTTAATGCTGTCAGAGCACGCTGCCCTGCCCTTCTCCTTTTGTCTCTCACACATCCCTCCACCCCTGCCTCAAACACTCATGAACTTGTATCCTCAGGAGATCCTTTTTTGGGGGGCGGGGGGGCGGGGTACTGGGGATCGAACTCGGGTCCTTGTGCTTGCGCAGCAGACGGCAAAACCACTGAGCTAAATCCTGGGCCCTAGATCCTTTTAATAAAAGAGCACACTTACTCCTGAAAATGCTCCCTAAGGGGGATGTCCTCCACCCTAACCTTGTTTGAGCTGCTGTTGGTACTCCCCCACCCAAATCCCTCTCTTCCTGTGCATCATAAATCAAGTAGAAGTGAAAGTTTTCACACTGCTTACAGTAACATCAAATTTATTTAATATTTCTGTGAAAACTTTTTGTGATTGGAAGGTAATGTATAATTTTTTATGCATTTATGTTTCTTACTTAATAAATATACATTTATTGTAAAAAGAAAAACAAATGCAATAACCTGTTGTTCAAAGATAACCTGTGAGCCAGGCCTTGGTTCCCCATGCCAGTAATCCTAGGACTCAGGAGGCTGAGGTAGGAGGATCAAAAGTTTAAGGCCAACTCAGGCTGTATAGCAGTTTGAGGCCAGCCCTGGGTGGCTTAGAGACTTCAAGGTCAGGCTAGACTACATATGGAGACCCTGTCTCAAAAAAACAAAGCAGCTGGGTGTGGTGACACATGCCTGTAATCTCAGCACTCGGGAGGCTGAGGCAGATGTATTACCATGAGTTTGGGGCCACCTGGTCTACATAGCAAGACTTTGTCTCAACAAACCAAGCCCAACCAAAAAATAAAATAGGTGGACCCTTGACTTATGAACTCAATTCATTCTAGAGGACTGGTTGTAACTCAAGTTGGTCAAGTCCTAGGTTGTTTGTCCTTTCTTTCTCAATTGAAAGCTGGGGGAGCCACAGACTGCAGGAATGGAGAGCACGAAGGTACTGGAGATCACAGTTTGTTGGAAAGGTAGTGCTGTTCTGTTTAGTGAAGAGGCCTTTCAAAGCATGAGACATTTAATTTTACTTCAACAGCATGTTTCCTCTATTATTCTACAGCAACGCTGACAATATCCAGGTTGTTTTCTACCTTACGTGTATAAATTCCATTTTTGACCCAGGTGAAAGTGAACTCTCAGACATGTAAATGTCTGTCCTTTGAACAGGAGGCTAGGTAGTGATTGTGTTTTCTTATGAAGTCTACATGTTTTCAACCACAGGATCTGTAAAATAGTAACTAAGATTGAGACATAAACATATAGAGAAAAACAAGGGAAAAGGATTCAATTCTTTTGTAAAAGAAAAAATGTGAGGGGCCAAGGATTTTAGCTCAGTGCACCATCCCTGCCTCGCAAGCACAAGGTTCTGAGTTCAAGCCCCAGTACCAAAAAAATAAAACAAAATAAAATTGTGAGAACTAGGGGTGTAGCTCAGTGCTAAAGCAATTTCTTGGCATGCACAAGGCCCTGGCTGAGTTCAATCCTCAGCACCAAAAAAGAAAATTTTCTTTTAAGTTTATATATGCATGTAAATTATGTTAGATATACCTAAATACCATTAATGCAAATACTTATAAAAGCCTAGTGACTTCTTTAGATTTCTACAAATACTTTCAGCCCTTGATGCAACTATCCATAATTTTTAGTTTCAGCTATATTCTATCTTTGTCTTATTTCTAAAAGAAAAAAAAAAAGAAAAGAAAAAAAGACCCAATTCATCACATAATTTTGTGGCATAATTTAATGAACTGTTATTAATATATAGCTACAATATTTAAGGACCTGGTATTTTGCTTTTACTTTCTTACTTTTCCCATGAATCTTTGGATAAAAGTCCCTCATCTTCAGTGTAACTATCCTCTGTAACTGTTCTTTTTTCTCATTTTGTCCTTATAAGGCTATCCTGTTTTATCACTTCCTGCTTCAGCTCCTGACTATTTCTCTCTTCCCTCTCCCTGTCCTGGGGTGGATGCTTGCTCCATGTGGCTGGGCTATAACTGTTCACAGCTGTCTGAAGCAACTTTCATTTTACAAAGAACATGTTTGACTGTTTCAGCAGGCAAGTTATAACTGGCACTGACTTCTTGTTCTTCTAGAACACTGAAAATCTCCCCCAGCACTTTAGACGGGGAACCCTGACTGTGTTGAAGAAGAAGTGGGAGAACCCAGCGCCTGGAGCAGAGTTGCACACAGACCCAGTTGGAAACAGCAGCTCTGAGATTAGGCACAGAGTCGACCACCCTCCTGGCGAAGTGACAAGCAACTCCACTTCTGGAGCCGGAGCTGATCACGAGGGACAGACCCAGCCCAGACCTAGATTTGGATCCCATCCTGATCGACGTATTCGTCGGTATCACCCTGAGGATAGTGAAGATCTTAAAGACCACACACCCGAAAGTGAAAACATGGAAAATTGTCTGGGAGATTCCAGACATGAAGTTGAGAAATCTGAAATCAGTGAAAACACAGAAGCTTCAAGCAAAATAGAGAAATACAATGTCCCACTGAACAGGCTTAAGATGATGTTTGAGAAAGGCGAACCAACTCAAGCCAAGGTAAGAATTAGGCAGGTTTAAAACTTGAGAAGGTCATTTGATGTATTAAAAAAAGCTGTTTTTCTAATCTGGACAGTTTGAGTAGAGTTGAATATGTGGTCCGTGTATGTCTTTTGATTCAAGTTAGACGAGTTAATAGGAAGTCTTGAATTATTTACATGGATACGGTTCTAAGATTTGTTAGACTCTGACCCGATTTCAAGTTAAATCAAGCTCCCACTGGATTCAAGTTGATATCTAGAAATGAAGAGAGCTGGACCCTGATTGGATTATGTGCTTTTGTACACTTGCCCTTTTAGTTTGTCTTCCTGTGCCTTTTGTCATTCGGAGCCTTGGGGGTGGAATTACTGCTGAATGGCTCTCTGCCTGAACACAGCTGCAGAAGGAGTGTTAAGGCCAGAGTTTAACGTTAAGACTGAGGCTTAGTTGTCTATTTGCTAGCTGAATCCCTTCTCTTCTTCTCAACTTCCTCATCTGTGCCTTCCAACAAATGTTTTCTATCAGCTAAAATCCTCTCCCAGAAAAAAATCAATGGAGGTAGCTAGACTAGCTGTTGCTTTCAGGAGTTTTGACTTGCAAATGCACAGGGTTGCATTTTCCTACAACTGCTAATGAAATTTGATCCTTCATGTGGAGTGCAGACTGAGTCCCCAGAGGGAATTACTTAACTAGAAAATGAGTTACATATGCTGGAGACTTATAACACAATCCTTGGTCTGCAAAGCTGCTCAATTTTTCCAGTTTTCTCATACTTTCCTGCATATCTGGCTCTGTACACAGGGATAGTTTGGTTCAGCAGTCATAATGAAATAAACAGATCTGATGGGCAGGAAAGCCAGCATTTACTGTAGATTACATCTTCATGGGAAAGCTGATTTTTTTTTTTAAAGCTAAGTATTTGGCCCAAATTCCTATTGGGAAACAATAGTATGAAGCATTCTTTTTTTATTTTTTATTTTTTGAAGCATTCTTAAGATATGAAAATATAGATAACTCATCGTGTAGCCCATAGCCCTCAGCTGCAGTATGTTCAATGTAATGCTGTCAGTTCTTTCCTGTAACTTGCTGTGCCTGCTGTTTTCCTGCCTGGGGAAGTTCTTGAGTGTTTGGTTATCATCTATTCGAAGGCCTGGGAAGAATTTTCAAAAGTTTGTAAAGCTAGAAACCTTTTCTGTGCATGAGCTATAGCTCTGCTTTAACAGTGAAATCAGTTGGCAAGAGATGTAACTACAAAGTTGTTTTATGACTTTTCTTAAACTCTCTTCCCACTTAATTTTTGGTCCCTGAGGCCTGCCAACTTCTTCTTTTTCTTTTATGGGCATAAAAGAAAATTTCTAAAAAATTTAAATAGAAAGAATTGTAAATGAAAGGAAAATATGTAAGAAGTCCTAAATAGAGAGGAAGGGGCTCGGTTGTTACTCAGAGCACCATTGCAAGTCTTCCCCTTACAGACCTTGCTAGGGGTGGCACAGCTGATGTGCCAGCACCCACAATGTGGATTCAGTGCAGAAAGGCGCATGCATGTCAGAACTGGCCCATGGTAGGAAATGACTGGGATGGCAGCAAACAGAAGTGCCGATTATGTATAAGGATATGGTGAAAGACTTTTTTCTCATAAATGTGTAGTGAGAGATGGGTCAGGACAAGCCCGTTTCCTATATGTCTGGTCAGAGTGGAAAAAAACTCCCCATATAAATAAAGATCCTACAAGATCACGGATGACACTGGGCAGCCTGGTGGCCAAGGTAGATGGAAGAGTTCTGAGATTCACCTGGGCTTTTGTAGGTTTGGCTATTAGGGTGTGCACCCTAGTAAATTTCCTGATTAAATTGTCCTTTGTCACTTAATAGCTTAGGGGATGGAAAGCATAGCTACCCTTAGTTTTGTAGCTGTTTCTAAATGAACATAATTATCCATGTTGGAAATAGCCTAGATTACTTTAAAATGTTTTGTCCAATATTTCAATCAAACTGTTAGGTTTTGTCTACTGTAGGTTGGGGAATAACTAATCAAACTTGAAACCATGTTATAGTTTAGTTATTGTTAACATAATTTCAGCTTTAACACGAAAGTTATATATTAGGATCTTCAGAATGATATTCAGAGAAATATGGTAGCAATAATAGAAATCCTCTTAGCAAGATTATACAAGTAAGAATGTATATTTCAGAGCTAAAAAACTAGTATTTTGGTGTGACAAATGAATATTTTAGGTAAAAATCCTGTGAATCTTTGGTTTCACAATTGAATTTTGTTTTGTTTTGTTTTTTGAGACAGGGGTCTCACTATGCAGTTCAGGCTGTCCTTGAACTCATTGTGTAGCCCAGGCTGGCCTTGAACTCATGGCAATCCTCCTGCCTCAGCCTCCTGAGTGCTGAGATTTACAGGTGTGTGCCACCATGCCTAACTTCATAATTGAATTTAGAGAACTGTACTGCATCTCAGCTAACCAGCCTAGCAGGGTCAGGAAGTTTCATGGGTAGTGGAAATAACATGATCTAATACCTTGACCTCTTGAATGTTTTTATCATAGTTATTTACAGGCAGTGAAGTTAACTGGCTTCAGTTCCACTTTTCTTTTCTTTCTTTTTTTTTTTTGATACCGGAGATCGAACTCGGGACCTTGTGATTTTGGAAACAATATATATGTCCATCAACAGATGAGTGGATAAGGAAAATATGGTATTTATACACAATGGAGTACTACACTGCCATAAAGAAAGATAAACTTAAGGCATTCATAGGTACATAGATGCAACTTGAGGACATAATGTTAAGTGAAATAAGCCAAACACACAAACTCAAATATCACTTGGTTTCTCTTATATAAGAAACTGTATAGGAAGTAGGGAGAAATTCAAATACTTAACCAAATTACGAATTTCATGTTTTTTGTGGTTTTTTTGGTACTGGGGATTGAACTCAGGACTTTGGGCTTGGCAGGCAGGCGCAGTACCACTGAACTACATCCCCAGCCCACAATTTTTTTTTTTTCCCAGTCCACAAATTTATTGTTTGTTTGGGGTTTTTTTTGGCACCAGGGATCAAACTTGGGGGACCTTGCGCTTGCAAGGCAGGCGCCGGAGCCACTGAGCTAAATCCCCGGCCCAATTTTATGTTTTAAAAATACTTCAATATATATACTAATTGATTTCATTTATACTACCAGTTTATCTTAGTTTTTTGAAAAGATAGTTGTATTTTAACATCTGTTTGCTTCTTTTTTGTAAGGATCTTTTTGGTTTGTGTCAAAGTAGTGAGAGTGACTACTTTGAAGATAATGATACACAGTATAATAGCTATTGTTATTCTCTCATTATTTGATTATGAAATTTTATTTTATTTTTCCATAAAAAAAAAGCAGACAGGAGAGAAGAGAGATACTTCTTCACCCAAAATCCTAAAACACTTAACATACACTCACCCTCAGGGACTCATCAAGGGTAGGAGAATAGTAATAAGAAGCTTGTCCACAAGTAAATACAGTGGACCCTTGACTTACGAACTCGATCAGTTCCCGAGGGCTGATTGTAACTCAAGTTGGTTGTAAGTCAACACAGCTGAGATCTGGATGTTTACCTGGGTACACGCTATAGATAATAAGAGGCAGTTGAATCTTCCATTAACCTAATTAACCCAAGTTGTTCTTGTATCAGGCAGATCATAACTTGAGGGTCCACTGTAATAGAATTAAAATTCTTTTTCTCCTTTTCTTTTTTTGATTGCTGTTGTTTGTTTTTTGAGACAGGGTCTTGCTCTAGTTCAGGTTGGCCTTGACCTCATTATGTATCCCAGGCTAGCCTTGAACTCGAAACTCTCCTCCTCCCTCAACCTCCCAAGTGCTGAGTTACAGGCATGCACCACCATACCTGGCTTTTTTCTTTTTTCTAATATTCATGGTATTTTAATGCTTCCGGTTAGTCATACTGTATTTTAATTGGTTTTAACTTGTTTTACATTATCCAAGGTGCAGTAAAGCATTCAGATAAGATAGAAGCCTAGCCTGGGCAATTTAATAACCTACCAAGACTTTGTCTCTGGATTTAATCCCCAGTACTGCTATTAGAAAAGAAAAGTTAACAAAGCTTCACTTGTTGCATGAGAGTAAAAGCCATGAAAAAGTAGCTCATATGTAGAACACATATGTGGGTGAGGTCCTGGGTTCAATCTCTAGCAGCAAAAAAGGAAAGAGAGGCAGAGAGGAAGAGGGGGAAAGAGGGAGAAAAAGAGGGAGGTAAAGAGAAAGAGAGAAAAAAATGAAACCATCCTTCTTCAGATGGTCCAGCATTTTTGTGGTTTTTGTTCCTGTAAGTTCCTGGAAATGACACATAGTATTTTCTTAAGTTTTACATAATGCTGGTTCCTAATAGTATATACTATATGTGTTAATATAGTAGAGTAATCCTTTGAGAAACTAAGGCAACGAAGCTAAAGTCTGATCTGCATTCATCAGACATTTTATCTATAGCCAGCTAAAATCTAGTCTGCAGCGAAGAAACAGTTGATAAATGCCTTCTTGCTGATGGGTAGGTGTCCATAGGGAACACCTAGATGGTTGCAAAAATGATCCATAACATTTTTTTGCCCAAACCCAGGAACAACACATATCCATAACATTTTATCTTCCTCTCTTTTGCATAATAATTGCATATATTTCATTACCTACTTAATGTTATCATAATAAAATTTCTACTTTATTCATGTTAGCCTTAAATAAGTTATTTAGTAGTATATTCCAAAACTACAATTCTGAAAGTGTTCATGACTGGTGTTGTAGCTTTAAGTTATAATTTTAAGATGAGTTTAGGGAGGAAAGGGATTTGAAAGAAGAGATTTTTTCATAACTATCAACATCACTGGGTGGTCTGATGCAGTCATCCTAATGTAGAGGACTGTATCTCTAATTTGCTTATTAGTTATCTTTCTATGAGTGCCCTCTGTGTGTGTCTCTCTCTCTTTCTCTCTCTCTTTGGTACTAGGAATTGAATTCAGAGGCTTGC